AGTCAATTTGTAATATGTATCAGTTCGAGTTAGTATAAACCAAAATATTTAAATAATTTTTAAGATTTCCTATCGTTTGCATGTAAATAATATATATATATATATATACATATATGTTTTTTGAATAATATGATATTTTTTTGTTAAAACATGTTTTTCTTAGGAATAACAATAGGGAAAACAATATTGAAAACATTTTTCTTTCTGACATTATTATACCGAATACGTTTTATCTATCAGAAAAGAAAAGGTTAACATTGTCAACGACTGTAGTTGATGGACATTTATATTTATAGATCGGTACTATCATTGGAAAACTTTGTCATATTTCAAGAGTATGATAATTAAGTTCAGAAATGTTTGAACTATAACATTGTAAAATTAATTAAAAATGTCCTACATCAAAGTGTAACAAACTAGAAAGTTAAGTCAAGTTATCTGCAGTCAAACAAGTAACATAATCTCTATAGCAAAAGAAAAATCTCGAACGAATAAGTGGCTTTTGAATTTGATCATATTTGATTTATAGTCATTGCTCGTAGTTGACAAAATTAGAGATGATATTTAAAATGACTTTTCTCTAGTGAATAGATTCATCAAACGAGTATGAGTACTCAAATTATTCGAGCAATTCTATATCTATGTGTATTTTTCGTGTACTCTAGCGATACAAAAAAAAAGATTAAATTAATAGAATAAAGAACACTGATGTAATTCAATAAAAAATAAAGCAAAAATGTTTTAATTTTTTCTTCCATTCTTTCTTAATGAACCATTCATAATAGTTTAATGAATAGTGATTTAAAGAAAAGAAAAAAGAAAAATTTTCATATCCGACTGTTCACTTCTTAATATTGAATTTTTTACTTAAACATATAAAAGATAACTTGTTCGATTTTACATGCAGAAATTTAAATACAAATATATATTTTTTTTGTTTTTAGATTGGTTGTAAAAGTCAAAGAAATACAATACGGTTAATAACTTATGTTACAAATCGATGGCAGTTGCATATTATGATGACATATACATCATTTTATAGACGAATAATTTAATTTTCTTTTTAAATTACTGAATGAAAATGGTTCATTAATTTAAAAATATCAATTTTGTTTTTGTAATAATTAAGTCTAACAGCCTATGTCTTATAGAGCTTCTTAATTTCCTCATAGTTAGGTAATTTAATATCAGTAGTTCTCCAAACTGATTGTATGTTTTAAATTTATTTTCATCACTGTATGTATATCAGTGTTTTATTGATAGTTTAATACTTAAATAAAAACAGATATAACAATTCTAACGTTACCCGAGTATATAAAAACAATATATGAGTATTCACAAAACATTCAATATTAGAAAGCAAGTACTCAATTGTCATACTGAGATCTCTAGCATGAGTACTACTCAAAACTCCCGAGCTTTCATAAGCACTCGCGGCATTTTCCAGCATGTATACTTTATGAATACTCATCTATGAGTATCGTTACTTGAGATGTTCTTTTCTATTCATATTGATTATAGAATAGACATAGTCTTCAGATGAGAAATAGTATAACAATTTAATACGTATAATATCAAAAATTTTAATTTAAAGACATCCAGAAACAAATAGACAATAGTTTCATCGCAATTTCTATAGAATACTATTTAAAAAATGACTAGTAAAAGTCATGAAATATGAAAAAAACATTTTCATAGAAAATCCATAAAAGGAATCTTTGACCTAAAATTTTTGTTGAAAAACAAGCAAATTATATTTACGTATCTTTATACTTACTGAATAGATATGCTAGAAATAGAAAAAAATCATTCTGTAAAAAGGTCATCTAGTTTAGAACTGACGTCAAGTGTGTGCACCCATTACACTGAACATATCGTTTTGTAATAGCATCAATTGAAAAAGAATGCTTAATTTTCTTTAATAGGGAAAATATTAGAACAAAGCTTTTATTATCGAACGATACAGTGAGAGTCCTACTTTCATAATCTCTATTTCTTAAATTTTTCTAATATTTTAAAAAGTTAGAATAATTCTCTTTTCAAAAAAACTTGATCATTAGATAAAGTATACTGAACATTATTGATAAAGCATAATCCTTTTCATTTTTTTCTCTATTTATCCACTCCACATAGTGTTCCTTGTTCTATGTAAGACTCAAATATTCTTTAGTCAATTCTTAAACTTTGATATTCAATATTATGAATATGATAATTTATTCTAAATATAAAAATCATAGTGTGTTATAACGAGAGTTAGACGATTAGATTGATGTGTTCTATATATAAATACATATATTCATAAAGTTCATTATCATGCTAAGAGATTCGAGAAGAAATACTTAAGCAAACAGAAAAAACCAATTTAAAATCTTTTGTTTCTTTTTTTTCTTTCATTCATTAGCCTACGGTCATGCACTACTTATTTGCTTTCGAAGAATGACTCAACCGCAATAATGATGTGGGTGGAAGCGAGCGTGAAGAAGTCTTAAAAGGCTTTGTTGTTACTCTCTTTTTTTTCGCTTTTCCATAAAACAAAGAGTAATTCACGCATAATCACAATGGAAGATCATTGTCTTTTTCTCTCTCTCTCTCTCTCTCTCTCTCTTTCTTTTGTCTTCCAAAATAAAAACTACAAGGACTATTTGATATATAAGCACAAAAAAAAAATATATAACAAGCAAAACTAAGATTCGCATTTCATTGAATCAAAGAATTGTGCACATCATCCAACAACGGGAATGATAAGCAGATCTTGAGATCGGTTTATAATCTTTTTCTTCTCTCTCTCTCTCTCTCTTTTTTCTTTTCTAGGTTTTTGTTGTTGTTTTCCATAGGCATTCTTGTTTTCTCTGTGTTACTTGATATTGTTAAGTCGCTTTTTTTTGTCTTGTCAAGAAAACTTTTCGACAAGTAATAAATCAGAAAAGAGAAGGCAGCCTTAGTGACGGAATGCATCCAAATACAAAATGACTAACATAAAGACGAGAGAGAAAGAGAGAGAGAGAGAGAGAGAAGAAGTAGCCAAAAAAAGAAAAACTAAAAAATCAGTTTCTTTCTTATTCATATAATAAGATAGAATAGACAAATAGATATATAACGAATGAATATTAGTAGATAATTTCAATAAAAAACAATGACAACAGTGATTAATTATACTATCAATAATATTCCAAAAGAAGAACCGTCATCTGGATTGCCTTTAACTGTACAAGTAAGTAAAACAAAAAAACTTTTACTTTTTTTTAATCCTATCATTATCGATATAAAAAGTATTTATTTTGAAAATAACAAAATCAATTCGATTCATATTTTGATATGTATATATCATATTTGAACTAAAGAATAGTTTTCTAAAATAGAGATTTCAAATGGTTTTCCTTTTGTTTTGTTTGATTAATAAATGTCTTTTAGATAGGTTGAAGCATTTTGCGTATTCCAGTTTTTTTTGTTTCCTCCTATAATAGGAAAACATAATTGGGACAAGGAAACCTCATCAAAAATATAACAATTGCAAAACTAGAGGACATGATAACAATCACTAATGAATTATATATATATATCAAAAAATTGAACTTAGTTAAAAATTCTTCTATTATCAAAAATATTTCTAAAACAATCTATTGATTTTCTTTTTCGTAGAAAAGTTATTAGACGAGTTTTTGTTTTTAAATTTAGTTCATCTTTTTACTCTTATTTGCGATTGTTGTACTATTGGCCGTTTGTGGAAATAGTATTGTAATATGGATTGTACTTGCACATCGTCGTATGAGAACACCAACAAATTATTTTCTTGTTAATCTTGCTTATGCTGATGTATTGAATGCTATATTTAATATTCCATTTAATGGCTATTATATGGTTGCTCAAATACGATGGCCATTTGGAAATTTTATGTGTCCTTTAGTACAAGCTGTATCTCATACATCGATTGCAGCTAATGTACTTACTTATGTAGCAATTAGTTTAGATCGGTAAATTGAAAGAAAAACAAAAATGATTATTTTATTTTATTTTATTTTGTTTTGTTTTTATTAAAAAGATATTTTGCAATAATACATCCATTACGTACGAAATTAACACATAAACAAACTATTATGATAATATGTGGTATATGGATATTATCTTTACTTGTATCATCACCAGCTATTCGATCATTTAGTAATATTAAAATTGATTGTAAAATTGATGATTTAAAAAGTCATCAAAAGTAAAATATAAAATTCTATTTGTTAAGAAAAAATTTTGTTTCATTTTTTTTTTTGTTTTAGATATGAATGGATTTTTTTTTCGGTAACATATGTAGGTCCAATTGTTATATTAACAATAACATATACAAGAATTGCTATTGAACTTTGGGGACAAACTGGTTTTGTTTTATTAATAAAAA